CTCTGGGGCTAACAATTGCAGTATATATTAGTTCTGGGGCTAACAATAGCAGTATATATTAGTTCTGGGGCTAACAACATATATTAGCTCTGGGGCTAACAACATACATAACATACATATTAGCTCTGGGGCTAACAATTGCAGTATATATTAGTTCTGGGGCTAACAATTGCAGTATATATTAGTTCTGGGGCTAACAATTGCAGTATATATTAGTTCTGGGGCTAACAACATATATATTAGCTTTGTCACTAAGGCCAAAGCTGAGGTATTTCTCCATTCTCATTTCTGTCCCAGCGCTCTGGTTCAAATTAAAGGCTGAAAATCAGATAATGTCCAAAATTAACATTCAAGATTAATGAAGTTTGCACCAAAGTAACCTGTCTACATCAGTTACCCAGAATTCATTGCAACCTAAATAAAATAGCGATGTCCATTTATCAATAATTTCAGCAAAATTATTGAAACTAAACAGCCTACAGTATTTTTACTGTCTCGTTTCTATAGCTGATGCAATTGATCAAATAAGGTATATTGTTCCAACAAGTGGGAGATCCCTTTAAGAAATGCTAAACCTTTATTCCCCTGTAGAGATCGAGTTGTTTAATTGTGACACAGCTGATTGTGTACAGCAGACATTAGGTTACAGATCATTATGGCACCCATACAATAGAAAACCTGAAGGAATAGGCATTAAATTTAAAAACTCTGAAGACCAAGAACAGCAAGTGTGGCCTTTTTTTTTTTATCCCCACGCCCCAGCACACACACGCATGCTCCCATTAACACCACTGTAAATATCCCCACCACTCCATTTATCAACACTTTATAGGCAATTAAGCAGCAGAGCTCTCTAATAACTGGGCTGATAGCTGCGTTCAGCAGCTTCAGCTGGCCAAGCTTTCACTTGGAACTGCACACACAAACACACAAATATGTGCGTCGACACAAGCGTTTTTGTACCTCTGAGCGTGTGAGATCAATACGGGACATTTCAGTAGCAGTTTCACAGATTCAGAGTTTCAGGAGGGCCGTCAGTTTCTCCCCAGTTCAATTACATTGGTCGTAAAAACCCAAAACTATATGGACAGAAGGTTAAATCAGGCTCTAATTGACCCGATGTCTCTCTTGCATTTTGTGTTTGTTTAACAGCCAACATAGATTTGTGTTCACCATTCAGCTTTCCCATGTTTGGTCTGTTACAGCCATGCCAATAAAGCCATATTTCCATTGTCTGGTCTCACCACAATTAGTTTTTGGCTCTACTTGGGTCTACACAGTCTCAGAGGTTTCCATATGTCTTGTGTACAGCCTAAATTCAAATACTTTATTAATCCCAAAGGAAGATTGTTGTTGTAGCTCATCATCCTGGTTTCATTAAAGAGTTTTTCTAAATGCTGATGGCTGTGGGCAGGAAGGATCTCTTGTCTGTCTTAGAGCAGATCTGAAGAAACTGCAGATGTTGATCTGTTTACTTGGACTTGGTGGGTTTCTTGGTCTGCTTGGGCAGCAGGACCACCTGAATCTTGGGCAGAACTCCCTGAGCGATGGTCTCTCCTCCCAGCAGCTTGTTGAGCTTCTCGTCATTGCAGACAGCCAGCTGCAGGCTCCAAGAGAGGATCCTGGTCTTCTTGCAGTCACGAGCCGCGTTTCTCACCTGCTCCAGGATCTCTGCGGTCAGGTACTCGAGCACCTCCACCAGGTAGATGGGGATGCATCCACGGAACCTGCTTTTAAACTCGTTTGTGATTTGGGGCTGTAGTTAGAAAAGTGGTAGTGTGAAAAAGAACAAGACTGAAGATGCACGCAATCAAAAGGAGTTTCCTCTGCAGAGTAGCTGGACACTTCTCATTAGACATAGGGTGAGAAGTTCAGTTATCCAAGAGAGACTCAAATTAGAGCCTCTGCTCTTCCGTATTGAGAGGAGCCAAATGAGATGGTTTGGTCATCTGTTAAGGATGAACCCTGGATAGGCATATCCATCTGGGAGAAGACCCCTGGGAAGACCCTTGATATGCTGGAGAGACTGTCTCTCAGCTGGTCTGGGAACACCTTGAAGTCCTCTCAGAAAGGCTGGAAGAGGTGACTATGAACAGATGTCCATAGCCTTCTTGCTCAAGCTGCTGCACCCATGACCTGACTCAGAAACAAGCAGGAGAGGATGGATGGATGGATGGATGGATGGATGGATGGATGGATGTATAAGGTAGGTGGGTTTAATTCTTGTGAAAGAGATGCTCGGATAGACATTGCTTTCTGGTCCATCATTGACCTCCAGTCTGCTGACAACAGATCTTCAGCTCGACTCAGTTTGTTTGGAACCTTGGCCAAGTAGGTCCTAAGCACCAAAGTGGAAGCGGGTGGGACTAGACCCCAGAAGCCGTGCAAAGCTGACTAAAATAGGACCGTGTCCAGCCCATGAAAAACGTGTTTAACCATTTGTTCATGTAGGATGGAGCTCCGTCCAGCCAATGAGGATGTAGCCAACCGTTGTTTAAGATCTCCCGCTGTTTGTAGAATGACACGTTGAGAACATTCTCTTCATGTCTCTTCTACATTTGTGTTTGCAGTAACGATGGGGTTTTTGACGTGGCGCTGCACGTCCATGTCCAGGTCTATAGTAACGGCAGAGTAACGTGGACGCCCCCTGCTCTATACTGCAGTTCTTGTGGAGTCAAGGTGGATGAACAGTTATGCTTCCTATTGTTTTTTCCGAGGTTGGTCCTTTTACACACCTGCTTTTCCTTTCTGTCCAGGTGACATACTTCCCATTTGACTGGCAGAACTGCAGCATGCAGTTCCGCTCCTACACCTACGACTCGACAGAGATCGACCTGCAGTACGCTCTGGACTCGAGAGGAAAAGAAATTCGGGAGATCCAGCTGGATGAGGCCTTCAGTGGTGAGCATTGACATGAAGCTTTGTTTGCAGAGCTACAAATAAGTCCATCTACAAAAACAGACGTAAAATCCCAAACACCAGAACGTAAAAACTGTAAATGTCTTTAAATGTTCTGGCAGAGAGCGGAGAGTGGTACATCAGACATAAACCAAGCAGGAAGAACATGAACGATGACATGTACGAAGAAATGACCTTCTACCTGATCATTGAGAGGAAACCTCTGTACTACATCATCAACATAATCATCCCCTGCATCCTCATCACGATCATCGCCATCTTTAACTTCTACCTGCCTCCTGACGCTGGTAAGGACGCGATAGAACCTTCATTCATACTTTAGTTTTCTTGTTTTGAGGGCGGCTGTGGCTGAGTGGTTAGAGTCCTCCAATGCAAGAGTTGGGGGTTGGAATTCACCAGCAGTCACATGCCGAAGTGTCCCTGGGCAAAACATAGAACCCCTCATTAACTCCGATGTGTGTCCCAACAGTGTATGAATGTGATAAATCACTGATTAGTCTCTTTAGAATGATTTGTTCAATTATCTCCATTCGTAGCGCAAAACATTGATCTCTCTGGGTATTTTATAGAATTTTTAAAGACTATTTTCAGAATATTAAACTTTATATCAAATAAAATTCCCTTCCGAAACACTTTATTTCTTCATTTACTTAAAAAACTTTGATCTCTTTGAAATCTGCTTCAGCGTTCTTCTTCTGTAACTAGTTTTAGCTACTTTTCAGCAACTGCCTTTTTGGTACTTTTAGCTTTTAGGTACCACTCTGTTTATTTCATCTGTTTATTCCAGAATTGCGCTGCTCAAGGTGGCTGCATGTTGGAGCAGCTCTGATACTTTCATTCTGAGATTTTGCTTTTGGAAACTTTAATTCCTCTTGGATTATTGAGCATGCATCAGGATATTTAATTCCTCTTGTTCTGGCTGTAAATCACATTTTTTTGGATGATTGTTTCCTCTGGTATCAGATGCTGTGCAGCTGGAAGGATTTTTACTGAAACTTTTTTTTTGTTTGGGACATTTGTTATGATGCGTAACCATGGTAACAAGGCAGTTTTCCACAACCAACAGCAGCTGATTAACATCTCAAAAGCTCAAATAATATCTCAACTACAGCTCCAACTCTCAAATGAGTTGAAAAGGATGTTCTGTGGACGCATTCTCATCTACCTGCCAGCTGTGCTCGAGTGCCTGACCACTGAGATCCTGGAACTAGCAGGAAACACGGCTCATGACAGTGGAAGGACAGGATCGTCCCTCTGCACCTACAGCTGGCTGTCCGCAGCGACGAGGAGCTCGGCAGACTGCTGGGAGGAGTGGCCATCGCTCTGGGAGGAGTTCTGCCCAGCATTTGGGTGGTCCTACAGCCCGGGGGAACCGAGAAGCCAGCCGAGTCTGGGTGGACGGATCGAACGGCATCTGCAGCCAGTTTCTTAGGATCCACTGTGGGATGGACTTTTACAAGAGATCCTTCCTGCCTACAGCCATCAGTGTCTATAACATATCTTAATGAAATGAGGATAACGAGTTACAACAACAAATAATTTCCCTCTGGGATTAATAAAGTATTTTTTAATTGAATTGAATTGAATAGAATTTTACCTTTTATCATTCTGGGCCTTTTAGCTTTAAGCTAGAGTTTGGCTTTTTTTTTTACCTTGAGCATTTATGTTGCCAACTTTGCGAGTGAGTGGTGGTGCAGAGGTTAGAGAAGGTGAGCCTGTTATCGGAAGGTTGACTGTTCAACTCCCCATACCGACAACATCAAAATGTGGGTGGGAAAGGTGGCGCGCCCACACCTGGCTCCACCCTCATTTGCTCCACTCTGGGCTTTTGATCAAGGCCCTTAACCCCCACCATCTGCTCCCCCAGGCATCCTAGATGCAGCTCTCTGCTCCACACAGGGCTGTGGTAGCTCTGTGGTTGTGTCAGGAAGGACAGCTGGCGTAAAATAATTTGCCAAGTCTTCATGCGAGTTCGTTCACTGTGGCGACCCCTGAACAAGGGAGCAGCTGAAAGAAGAAAACATTTTTACGTTGCTAATTTTAGTGACATTTTACTGAATTTAAGATCTGTTTCTGCTCATTTCAGCCACTGTTTTACTAACTTTAGAATTAATTTGACTTTTAGCCATTGTTTTGCTAGTTTTTGCACCTGTTTTGTTCATTTTTGCTACAGTTTGGCTAATTTGAGCTTAAAATGAATCCTTGTGACTCAGTGAGACTACCTGTATTAATAAAGGTTAAATAAAGTAAAAAATAACATTTGTTTTGTTTATTTTAGCTAGTGTTCTGCTAATTTTGGTTTAAAGCTATTGCTCTATAGCATTAGGCTTTAGCTCATTCTCTCCTGCTTCTAGCTTGTTTTCTGCTGGTTTCAGCTTGTTTAAAGTTTAAAAGTCAGTCTGGGTTCAGACAAGTCCTTCAGCGCTCAGTATTTATATACTGTAGTATTTGTAATATTTTAAAGAAAACACCATCATAATTGTATTTGTGTCTTGTCTCCAACAGTGGTCACATCATCATCACTGCAGCATGTAGTGAATATTTTTAATTCTTTTGTTCCAGGTGAGAAGATGGGTCTGTCCATCAACGTACTGCTCACCCTCACTGTGTTCCTGCTGCTGCTGGCTGATAAAATCCCAGAGACCTCGTTGGGCGTCCCGATCATTGTCAACTACATCATGTTCACCATGATCCTGGTCACCTTCTCTGTTATCCTGAGCGTGGTCGTCCTCAACCTGCACCACCGCTCGTCCAATACCCACACGATGCCCATGTGGGTACGCAAGGTCAGCCTCCCAAGAACAAATGTGGATAGGTTTCGCTTCCTGTATTCCGTTGGTAATCATATCTACGGTAACCCCATGATAGCGCCGTGATGGACAACAAAAACCTACTGTGTATTGCACATAGCTACTGTACGTGTTTTTGATGTACTTGATTGAGTCAACGTAGTATTATTCTCAGGCAAAGCCAAAAGCGAAACCACATTAGGGATTTAGTTCTGAAATTTGGGTCCAAACCGTGTGTCACTGGCACGCTGCAACTCATGCAAAACATGGAAGTGCGGTTCCCTTTTGAACCTTGAACTCTTAAAGCCGGTCACCAGAACCTGATACTTTGGGATGGAGGCAGTCAGGGCCTTGCAGAGCCACGTTTGGCGTGTAGCTTGGCTCAGACCAGAGTCTGATTCAAACAATGAACACAGAGACTGCGAGACAAGTCTAGGCACCAGGTACTCCAGGAAAACCTTGAGACCACGCCAGGACCCTTGTTGCTACTTATGGGCAGCTGTGGATGAGTGGTTAGAGCGATCGTCATCCAGTGGGAGAATTGGAGGTTTGATTCCACCTCGATGCAGTCGCATGTTGAAGTGTCCCTGGACAAGACGCTGAACCCCTCATTGCCTCCGATGTGTGTCCCATCGGTGCATGAATGCGCTCTAAAGCACTGACTAGTCTTTGTATAGAACTAGTAGAGTGCTGTCTGAACGTGTGTGAAGGTAAATGAGGGCACAGATTGTGTTGTAAAGAGATTTGAGTATCTTAGATAGAAAGATACTACAGAAGTACAGTCCATTTACCATTTACTTAATTTCCCTATACAAGTCAACTCTTTACCAGGAATATCTGACCCCAACATAGCCATTCCAGGGACCTCACAAGACCACTTCATCAGTTTAAGGGACCTGGTCAATATTAGGGCTGAAAGTTTTATGTATTTAATTGAAGGACCCCTGTCCTGGGTCTTTTTGGAATGGGAGGTTTGGTTTGGTCTCCTAACATTGTACACCCCATTACCAAGTATTTAGATTGCTTTTTACCTTTTGTAGGGGAAACATTTATCTACGTTTAACAGGAATACCACAACATGGCAGTGAACCAACTAAGAGATATATGTTTGCAACAGGATTCTCTGATTCTTGGTTCTTGATTCTCTTGGTCTATACTTCTTGGTTTTGCTCGGTCCTTGTCAGATCATGTTTTAATGCATCCTTTGGTTTCACCAGTTCTTCTTTTACCTTGGATTTAAGTGTTTCCAAATTTCTGATTAAAACTTCAGATTCAGCTCAAACAGTGACTTTAGTGCAGTGTTTTAACTTTTGTGACCATTAAAAGCTTAAAAAAGGAAAAATGTGTTCTGGCATGCTGCACATCCTCTGAACACTAAAAATAAAACAAAAATAGCTGCTGTCATAGTTGCAGGAACATGTTTCAGTTGTGGATGTTTGTGAGCAAAATCCTGGCACTTCTGAACAAAATGATGACAAAATAAAACCAAATGGTGTAAAATGTTGCACACAAATATACAACAGCGCTGGTTTATGCCATACATCAGATTTAAAAAACTCATTAATGCTAAATTTGTGTTCGAGCAAAAACATGCAGCGCTAGTATAATACATTTTAATTTGTTTATTTTATTTTTAAGAATTCTTCATTTGTGTATTTAAGCCATAGACATATTTTACTGATGATGACTTATTACAGCTAAACGTAAAAAAAAACATCTCAACACACAGTATGGTCAACACCCGAGAAAAAAATGATTTTGTGTATTTTTATTTAAAAGAGCTATGCCCTTTGTTTATATGAAGGGGGTTGAGCTTAAAGCTTGTACTGGAATCAGCCAACAGTATACAAAGGGGCGGAGCTTAAAACTTGTACTGGAATCAGCCAACAGTATACAAAGGGGCGGAGCTTAAAGTTTGTACTGGAATCAGCCAACAGTATATAAAGGGGGTGGAGCTTAAAACTTGTACTGGAATCAGCCAACAGTATAC